TGTGTGTTCACTGCTGTGTGTGTGTGCACTTTGGATGGGATAAATGCAGAGCACTAATTCCAAGTATGGGTCACGATACTTGGCCTCACGTCACTTTAAAATCTTATTGAATCTTGTTTTGTTATCGTATTGTTCACACTTGAGGAGGTAAAGTTTTATTAAGTGGCCCAAACTGAGCAAAAATGTGCTGATGTTGTTTATATGGCCAAAATGTAAGATGAGTTCTGACAGCTTTTAATGTAAATGGATAAAAAATAAAAAATTGACTGTCCATGAAATCTTATAATTTGCCATGGTTGGATCTTCCAACAGGATAATGATCCACAAACATGAAAATCAAAACAAAAATGGGTCACTGAGAACAAAACCAAGCTTCAATGCAGAGCACTAATTCCAAGTATGGGTCACGATACTTGGCCTCACGTCACTTTAAAATCTTATTGAATCTTGTTTTGTTATCGTATTGTTCACACTTGAGGAGGTAAAGTTTTATTAAGTGGCCCAAACTGAGCAAAAATGTGCTGATGTTGTTTATATGGCCAAAATGTAAGATGAGTTCTGACAGCTTTTAATGTAAATCAAATTTTTATAACCGACTACTTGCATAGTGTATATACAGTTGTGCTCAAAATTATTCATACCCTTGGGAAATATGATCAAAGTAGGCTGTGAAAATAAATCCGCATCGTTTATCCACTTGATCTTTCATTCAAAAAAAAATTTTATAGCTGAAGACTCAGAGCTGTTCTCTTGGCAAAAGGAGGTTGCAAAAAGTATTGGATAAAAGGGTATGATTAATTGTGACCAAGATGTATTAGAGAAAAACATTTGTTTCATAATGAGATTTCTCTCTCATTTTAAATTCTTATTCTCCAATGAAAGGTTAGATCTTAGTAAATTTTTAAAATAAAATATCTAAAGGATTGATGATACAGATTAATTTTCACAGCCGCCTTTGATCATATTTACCAAGGGTATGAATAGAGCACAACTGTACATATCAGCTGTAACTTAATATTCCCCAATATTATGTCTTAGTAAGATGATATTTAAATGCTTAATTTTATGATCGAATCTGTTTTTTTTGTTTTTACTTTGGGGGCAAAGCATATAATTCAATGCAATA